TCTAATACTAGACAGCGTCAGGATGCGTTTCTCTATCAGAACGCGTTAGAACACCCAAAAATATTGTATTTTAGACGCATCCACATGTAGCACAAACTTAAACGCGTTTGTCTGCGTTTCAAACTTGTATCGCATTAGAACACCCGAAAATGTTGCATTTTGAATGCATCCAGACGGGTGAAGTTACATTGCTGACAAACGCTTGGGGAACATGTCGAAAATTAAAAAATGGATACATGGGAAATAAGCAAGAAAAAAACGCAATAAATCCAGAAATAATTCAAAATAATGGAATTGTAATTAATAAATAAGTCACAGAAGCGTAACTATAGTAATGGACTACTGTTGTTTGTATTTTTAATAAAAAACATTAAACCATAAAAGAAACCGTTACCATGCCACTATAATCATAGTAATGAATATAAGATGTACATCAGACGTCTCAATGGTTTGATCCGATCCAGTGCATGGACCAAAATATTTTCAATAGAAAATCATGGATTGAACCGGGCTAATTCAATATTGCGATGGGCCGAATCTTGAATAAAATATAAAAATTTTTAAAAGATGTTGCGTGTTTTCACTAAATGTTTTTTTCGAAAACTCCATGGAATTCATTCATTTGGATAAAAAATTTCTGCAATGAACAGCAAATACAGGATATCAAAAAATGATAGAACATCCTATGAATGTTATCGAGAAAAATGTTTTCAATTTTAAGAAATAAGTGACATGAGCTCTTTAAGATCATAGAAATAATTTTCGACAACACCGATAGAGAATTCTATTATTTTGGGATACTCCATATGAAAAAGCAAAATAAAGGAATAGATAAAATTATCGTCATCATAAAAACAAAACTTTGTTTGTATTGAAGAAAATCCCCTTGTTGGTGTTAGTACTTTTTCTTCAACTACCAGTTATATAAAAAACAGTATACATCTGAATGGATGAAATTCCTTTTGAAAAAACAACCATCGATATATGTTGTTATTAATAGTGAAAAACAAAACAAACGCACATTTATGTTGGAGAGATTTTCGTTTGCGAACTAAAAAGCCAACAAATACTAGTGAATTCGAGGGAATTGAAGATTTTGCAAGTTGTCAAATATGTCACCAAACATTTGTTTATATATAAACTACTGATGCTCGAAATAAGATTACTCATTCATATGCTAAAACTTTATCCAATACAGTTAGATGAATAACGCATAGGCCGACTTTCTTCGATCCAGTCCATGACAATATGCACATAGTTGGTGTTTAAAAACTCAAGTGTATGCAAAAGTAGAATATTATTAGTATTCAAGACTTAAACAATTTTTGAAAAATATATTCAAATAGAAAACTTTTTTCGTTGATATTAATTTTAAAATATTTTACTTTTTAATAAAATGTCATTTAACTTTTTTGATCGAATATGTTATCCTGAAGACTATTTGATGTGTTTATACCAATAAGTTGAAATATTTTGTTGGTTACAATTAAATGAAATTTTATCGAATTTGTTTGTGTATTTTGAAAGTATATGTTTACTTTGTTTCTACACTTCTTTTTTTTTTTATAAAAAGAAAAATAATAAAAAGTGCATAGTTAATTGAATATATTGTCTCTCTTTTTCACCAACATTAAAGGTAAAAACAAAACTACTTCAACTATTCTTTTGTAACTTTCGTCAATGGTTTCTCGTAATAATAATTCTATTAGTTTTGCTCTTGGTCTAACTGGAGGTATTCTTGGCTTCATGAGTTTGGTATTTACTTGTATTGGTGTTGCTCTTCCAACATGGTATATTGGTACAAGTGCTGATCAAACAGTTATTATAACTAAAGCCAATTTATTTTCTTCTTGTTATGCTCCATATACATCTCAAGGAATAATATCATCGACACTTAATTGTGGATCATATAATTCGTATTCATGTTCAACAACATCTTATCAAAATTCTGTATTAAATATTACATCATATAGTCCAGGATGCACAAATCCTAATAGTGAAGCATCGATTTATTTGGATTTCGATGCTCCGATTTATCAAGTTTCAATGACAAATTATTATAATTTACGTAGTGCTGTTATACTCTCAATAATATCTATTCTTTTTACACTTTTTTCAACTATATTTGGATTTCTAACAGGACTTATATTATTAAATATTTATTTAGTTTTTATTGCTCCAATATTTGCTTGTATTGCTTTAATCTTTGGTATTTGTACTTTAGTTATTGCTGGTTCTGTTCTTAATTACACAGGTGTTGGTTTTATTTTATTTGTAGTTGGAATTTTACTTGAATCAATATCCCTTGTATTACTATCAATTGTAGCTGGACGATTAAATAGTGTCGAAGCAAAAAATCATACAAACGATAATGAACCTATGTTTATAGAACGAGATGATACGTCTCCTGATATTCAACATGAATATACAAATAGAATTTGAAGACAAGATTTTTTTTCTTCTCTTTTATCAAATGTTTCGCAACTTAAATATTCTCATTTGATTCATAAAAAGTAAATTAATATTTCTTGTAAAAAAAATAGTTGATTGTTCATCATAAAGAAAATTTTTTTTCGAAATAAAGTTCGATGATTATAATTTACTCAAGCGATTTGTTCTCTATAGCATATTTTTTTGACCATTCTCTGGCTATTTCGTTATATTTTCCTTGATTTGTTCGATAGACATTCAAAGCTTCTTTATTAAGTCCATGTTCTGGATTTGGATCTGTCAGTAGTGAACATAATGATATTAAAAGACTACGTATTGTTAATACAGGAGACCATTGAGAATGAAGAATATCTAAACATATTTCGCCTTTTATGCTAATATTTGGATGATAAACAGGTGTGATAAATTTTATCTGAGGCGGCTTAAACGGAAAATCTGAAGGAAAATCAATAATCAAGTGAAATCTTCCACCAGCATATGGTGTGTCTGGTGGTCCTTCAATCCAACCAATCCAATGAGTCAAGTCTTTCATAGGATCTTCGGGTTTAGCATAACATAGAGGAGGTGGATTTTTTTCCATATCACGATAATGATGAGTAAGACGTCGCCCAAGAGCCATTGAAAATGATTGAACTTGATCTGAAGAAAAGAAAAAAACAAAACAAATTATTATCATCTTAGATTTTTAATCACTCAGTTAGTTTATAAAACATCAAAAAGGATTTACGTTCTCGACTAATTAAGATCATTAAATGAGACGCATAAGCAGGGTTCCAAATGATTTACACAAAAATAATTTAAAGAAAAAACAAAACATAATAAATCATAGATAATATGCAGAATTTTTCTGATAGAATAAAAAAAAATAAAATAGTTCATTTATTTGTTATTCAATCTAGTATAATCAATAATGATTAGTCTATTTGTCGGCTCAAAAAAAAAGTATTCTTTTTTTGAGCTAAGATCCCTTATCTTGATTTTCCATGGCATATTTTCTTGTCCATTCTTTTGCATTTCTTTCATATAGACTTCTATCTGTTCGATAAACATTAAGAATGTCAATATTTAAACCATGTTCAGGATTTGGATCGGTAAATAATGAACATATACTAAGTAAAGCAGTTCGAATAGTTAATGCAGGTGACCATTTATCATGAAGAATATCTAAACAAATATCACCTTGTGGACTTATATTTGGATGATAAATAGGAGTTGTAAAACGAATTCGAGGTGGTTTAAATGGATAATCAGTTGGAAAATGTATTGTCAAATGAAAAATTCCATCTTGAAATGGTGTTCCTTCAGGACCACGAATTGTACCATTCCAATTAAACATATCTTTTGATGGATCAACTGGTTTAGCTTGACATAATGGCGGTGGATCATTTTCCATTTCTTTTAATTGTTTTGATAAACATCGAAGAAGAGACATCTATTTTAAATCTGAAATATTTATTGACATATCTTATTTATAAAAGCAAATATATTATTTCTCATTGACATGAAATTTTCTTTTAAAAAAAGTCACTTTATCTATATGCAAAAAGAAAAATGAAAAACATCAATGGACCACCTTACAAAATTACAGATGATTTTGAGTTATGCAAACATGTGCATTATATACCTTTACAGTATTTAAAAAGTGACGTTGATTATATTAGAGCGCACGTGAAAAAGAAAAATGCATAGTTTTGTATGTTTTTCTGTCTCACCATGTTGTTTTTTTTGTCATATATTAAGGAAGAAAAGGAAGAAAAATAAAAATAAAACAACCGGATTGTTCTGAGGAAACAAGTTTGCTGTCATCATATTTATCACAGCGCCCTCACCCTCACACCATTCTGTATGCGTAAATTACGCCAATGAATGTAAAGCACGTGATTAATGTAAAGTTTTGTTGTTAACTTTTCTTTTGCATTGAATAAAATGACTGCAATATCAGCTTTAGTATTAAATAAAGTTGATGAATCTGCACGTGGTCCAACCGACTATTCACATTGGGGTTAGTTATCATTTTTGACGATAGTTTTTTTTTGTTCAATTAAATTTAACTTAGTGATTCCTAAACTTTTATTGGCAAGTGCATATCCAGGTGAAAGAGATCCTAATGCTCACAAACTCTTAGTACGTAATATTATTAATGCTGGTGTTCAAGTTGTGGTTAATATTATGGAAATTGAAGAATGCAAAACATTTACACCATACAAAGACCTTATGTTAGAACTTGCTAAAGAAGGTATCAGAGTTTATTTAATCTGTTTAACTATTAAATACTCTGATCTAAGGAATTTCTTTTTTCAAATCTGAAATATAAGAAAAACAAAATAAATTCATATGTCTCTTTGATGATTTAGCAAATCGTGAAATTGAATTTATTTCATTTCCAATTCGAGACCAATCTGTACATCAAGACAATCAACGTGTTCTTGATTTTTGTCTTGAACTTTGTGATAGAATTAAACGAGGACAAGTTGTACTTGTTCATTGTTGGTAAACATCTATTTTAATAGAAAAAAAAAACAAAACAAAAATCTAATAAAGAAATGCTCTAGGGGTGGACATGGTCGAACAGGAACAATTATTTCAATTATAATTGGAATTTTATTTAATTTAAATAGTATGATAATATACACAACATTTATAAAAAATATATAAAATTTTTTTTTTAATTTATAATTTAGGTGAAGAAGCTATATCAATGAATCGTCGTTTGCATGATCAACGTATACGTACAAATGGAATTCCAAGTCCAGAGACAAAATGTGCGTATATTTTTCTATTAATCTTGAGTTATTTTAAATAATTATTTTTAGCTCAACTGGATCAAATTCGTATTGTTCTCGATATGTACCAGAGGAGCAAGGAAAAAATTGATCATGCAACTAAAACATGATTCTCGGACTAAGCAACTTAATATATAATCTTTTATTTTAACTATTCTTTTAATTTGCTTGATAATGAAAATAATTACAAAATTCTAACTTCTATTAATAGATAGAAATGATCATAATACATAATAGTCAAAATTGACTAATGATTCAAGTTAATGATATATTTTTTTTCCTTCTTACACAAAATCTAGTTGAATATTTTCATTCCTTAACAAACAACAATAAATCGATGATCATGACAAATTAATAATAATGATTGAAAATGATAATGAAGACTCAGAAAAATATCAGCAATATATAAAATAAAGATTTTTTACGAAAAATGGTTTAACAATATTTATTCTCTTGTTCTGATCTCATGTATGAAAATATTTCTTCATTAGCAAAAATCTTGACATATACTATACTCATATCACATTTGTCATATTCTCTTCATTACACACACATCATTGACAATATTTAATACTTCATCAATCGAAATAAATGTTCCACTATCATTTATAAAGAAAAAAAACCTCTGTCTTACATAAAGAATTCTGTTGAGTTATCTGTTTCTCGTAGATAACAATCGAAAAGTCTGCATAATCTTAAAATAATATTCCATTATTAAAATATATTCTTGTAATTTGTAAACAATTCATTTTAAATACTGTGATCGACCAATCAAGCGGTGAATAAGCACAACAAGGGTGTGGGGTGTGGGTGTGTAAGTAAGTGTATAAGTGTATGGGTGTGTACCTGCGAATGGAGAGAAGACCGACACTCACACCTTTATTGTAGTTAAATATGGTACTGATGTTGGTTTTACTTTAAATTTATCATGAAATTCAGATGCCAAAATAATATTAAAAAGAATTGAGAGAACACGAGTTGTACAAGCAACAGTTGATTGAACAAGCTGATGACGAAATTCTGAAATTTTCAAAAAAAAAATGTATTTTGAAAATAAATTCTTTTTACCTGTAATAAGATGTCCAACAAGTGCTAAATTAGTATTCGATTTAACTAATAAACCTATACTAGCATCTAATTGTCTAAATTGCTATTCTAATGGTTTTCGAGTATCCATCATTATTTTTTCTAAAGTTTTTTTTTGTTGAGGTATATTTGTATTTTCAAATAGATTTAACATATGATCAAGTGTATAAAGATTTTATTCAAATAAAGCTAAACCCGATGCATATAATTTTGTTTCTTCTAATTAAAGAATTGATAAAGATATCCAAAATATAAATTTATGAATGTTTGATTCAGCTGATAATAATGTTAATAAACATACTAAACACGTTATTATTGATTCAATTAAATCAATATCAGAAAATGATTCAAGGACTTTAACAAGTGTACATAATAATGATTTTATTCCATCATCACTTGTTGTTTTACACATACGACCATAAACAATACTGAAAAAAAAAGATTTTTAGAGAAAAATAAAAGAAATAATTTACATGACTCTTAGTTGTAAAACTGGATTAAATTGAAAAGCAAAATATTTAGCTAATTCCTGCTATTGTACTAACCATTCACAATCAAGTATATCATTTATACAATCTTTCATTAATTCTAATAAGGTATCTGTTATTGTTGCAAACGATGTTAAACTCATTCTTTCAGATTATGAAATATGATTTATACGAATTATACACTCGCATTTAAAATGAATTTTCTCAGCTTTGTGTCTGTTGATGTCAAACTAAGTTCTGGTATCTGTGGAAATTTTAACAAATAAATAACAACAGAATACTTTGTCTGTTCACATAGATTGTCTGTGTAAGATAGAAAAGTGAGAATGTACTTACTAATTAATATAGATCAAGAGAGAAAGCGCAAAACAACCCATCTATCGAAAGCATTACATAAAGAATAAGAAAGTCAATGGGCACAGGAAGTATACTTGACTGATCTAGAACGTTTGCCATTGTGTCAGAGGTTTTGGCCGAAGTCTAAACTAGAGTAGCGATATCAAAGAAGGTAAACGACGCCAGCTAAACTCTACCAGACCATGAACAGACATAATTAACTATCGATTGAACAATTGAAAGATGCAAAATAACATATAAAGCGAGTGAACTTCTACTATCTTTTCATTTCGTTGAGCCACAGTGAACAACTCAGCCTATTTGAGCACGAACAAATATTGGCTGTTCAGAATAGATAACCATATACCAGTTAAGTTTTACTTGTAACAAACAGAAAAAGAACATAAATTGCATCACATCCAGAGTAAAAAAAAACGATTCAACTACTTGGTTATAGAATCTACTAAGACGCTCGTTTAATCCTACTTCACTCTATTTCACTTCTACCACTATCCTACACCAATCTGACAAAATTTCATCTCAAACCATTTCAATATGCTCGTTCTACAGAATCATTGCTGTAGAATGAACTAGATTGAAGTAGGATGAAGCAGAAAAGTCAAATTGGTGTGAGATAGAAATAGAAGTGGAATCAGGGTGTGAGTATGGGTGTAGGCGGATGTGGATGGAGAGAAGATCCACTCTCATTCCCACACCCGTACCAACACCCAAGTTTGAGAATACTATTGATATCGTCATCTAACTGATTTCAAAGCATGGAAATACAGTAAAATCAAAGGATTGTATATAAATGAGAATATTATTCGAAAAACGATTCATACAGATGAGTGTTTTATTACAAATGCAAGAGAAGAAGCATAGAATGAAAATGGGAAAAGCTACTATAGTTGCATAAATATACGTTGAAGAATTATTCTAAACCTCTTCAAACTAAAACTTCTAGTAAAAAAATCACTGAGATATGGGCTGGGTCTCCTATCATAGAATTGATTCCTATGACAATGGAAGTTTGAGTCCACAGACACACAATTTCATCTAACAAGCAAAATTCTGTTTTTGCTACTAAAAGTTTTCTTTAAATGTATTGCTTTCTCTGCTTAAGTCTAAACTATTTCGAAAAAGATTAAACAAAAATTTGACGAAAGCAAACTACAAATGAAAAGTTCCACTGTTTGAAGCAGATGAGACTAAAATTTACTTTGAATTTATTCTATGATGAGTCTGTAAATACCTTGAATCGTAAGGAAAATCTTTCTAAAATGTATGCAACATTAAATAAGAGATGTGCATACATCGAAGGGCGAACCAATGCCTAAAGGTAACCACCAATCCACTTACAAGTGAAGGCAAGCAAAAACACAAAAAAAAACAAAGCTTGACACAATGACTAAATGTCTTATAGAGCAAGAGAAAGGTAAGATAGAGATAAAGAATTGAATAATGATTTGTCAATATCATAATTAGGCTTGTATCGAGTCCGAACGTACACCGAACAGCTTGGGCTCAATCTATGGATGCACCAATTCCAATAAGTGGATGATCCAGTTAAATGGCCACTCAGTTAATTAGTACTTATTTAGCTGGTAGAGCAGTATTTGTTTTTTTTACCAACTTCGTTTAATTACATCAACTTAATGCTATAAAAATAATGGTGAGCATCGATGATTTGATTTTGCCCGCTTATTGATTTCATACTGATGCATGCCTAAATAGCTACTAGTTATCATAGAGAATATGCTCTTCTCTTCATAGTGGTAGGAAATTACTATTATCAGGTAACAAAATAACGGAAAATTGGTATGCTTGATTTATTTACTAAAGAGAGAATTTTTTGGAAAACCTTTCTATATTGTATAAAGTTTGATCAAAGTTTTCGAAATCGAGGGATTCGAGTCCGAAATCGATTTCTCAAAATTTTCAGTAAAAATTTTCCACTAAAAAAGTTGTTTTTATAAAAAGTCACTCTTTTCGTAAAAATTTCTTTTATAAAACTCAAAGTCAAAATTTCGGGAAATCAATTTCAGGTTCGGACTCCTCGACCTCAAACACCTTTGATCAAACTTTATAAAAAAATCGTTTTTTTCTTAAAAAAGCTCTTCTCTAGTGAATGAATCCCTACTTTAACTTTGTTTTTTTTTAAAGTTAAGTTTAAAGTAGTACTTTAAGTTTATCTTTAAAGTCAAGTTAAAGTGCCATCCCTAGCTATGATCACAGTGATCGAAGACTTATCCTGTGAAAATTCCTGTAATTTGGCCCTGCCTAGCCCTTACAGATTAGAGTTGAACAAATCAATTGTGACCTGAACGACAGTACTGTTGATTCATAATACGAAATACGAAATTATTGCTTTCGTTTTGTTTGTCTTTAACTTGAAGATCGATTCTAGATATTCGAAAGATCAGCAAGAATCAAAAAGGTACTGACTCTATCGAAGACATATATGATACAAAGTTTCAGAATTTTATACTGAATGTTTTTCTAGTGGAAGCAGTGAAATAATCAATAAAAAAAAAAGTAATCAATTGGCTCTAAAGCTATGCCTGGCTAAGACTTGTGACAAAAAACAAAACTTTTTTAAATTGCAAGATCAATTTAGAACTGCATGGCTCTGTTTGCTTAGGAGAAAAAAAATATTTCGACACTTTTGCTAAAATTATTTAGAAAGCACATCCTAGTATTTTTGTACAAAAATGTTATAAATGAATAAAGCAAGCGAGCGTTAGGACAAATTAAAGACGATTGTACAGTTAGGTTTGTTTAAAAGAAAACAGAAACTACTAACGACAAGATTGATATTTAAATTGATTTTTGTTGTTGAGATTGTTCAAGACGACAGAATGAACGATTTAATTTTCTATGCATATTAACAACGGTTCTATAAGAACAATGAACTGCATAGCAATGCAAATATGGTTTTACTTCATACGGACTGCATACAATGCAATCGAAAGAAAATAAGAAAAAAACGTATCTTGTGATGATGATGTCCGGTATGTTGTTCTTTTTATATCTTTTCTCAATGCAAAACTGTATAGTTTATTACATGCGTGTGCACGCTGAAAAGGAACGAAAAGAAAAGAAAAAAGAAAAAAAAATTTTGCTTATAGTGCTTGTCGCTATCGGAAGAGACGGTCATGCGGAAATTTATTTTGGTTCACGCATGACGAATTTCAAACTCATCGAATTTTTATGATTATTCATAGTTGAAAACATTTCTTGAATAAAGCGTGGCCCAGAAGTCGTAACTCGATTTGAATATTATTTTTTTCTATCGTGAAACACGTTGTTATAAATTTGTTTCTATGGTAAAGTGATGCTGAGAAACACGCTCTACAAAATGATTTTCAATTGATCCCACTAGCTCATGCAGTAAGAAAATTATAGGCTTAAAAGTGTGCTTCATAAAAAATAACAACTAACCATGAGACTTCCTAGAACAAAAAAAAAAGAAAATAGTCGACTATGGATAGCTTCAGCGCTCAGTTCACTTGCAAAATTACTTTGAATTCATTATATGATTAATTTTAGATGTTAAACACGTCTTGTCTAGAGGAACAGTTTCATTAACTCTTTCTTTCTTTAACGACAACATTACTGATGAACTACAATCTCATGAAAAACCTCCTTCATTATGTTCTGATGCATTAACAAGAAAAACGAGTCACATATTAAAAAGGAAGACGGTAAATGGTAGTTCAAGATGTAGTACACCAAGAAAATGTTGCAACAGAACAATTCGAAAAAGCAGTAAAAAGTAAATACATTTTAAAAAAAGAAAGTCAAAGAATAATTCTTCCGCAATGCTGATTTTCCTTCAAGTGGGATGCATTTTCTTCAAAGAAAGAAGGAGTCAACGACACTGTTCCTCTAGACAAGACGTGTTTAACACTTAAAATTAATTATATAATGACTTCAAAGTGATGTTGCAAGCAAACTGAGTGCTGAAGCTGTGCCAAGTCGCCACTTTTCTTTTTTTTTATTCTGAAAGGTTCATCGTCGATTTTTATTTTTTGTGAGACCTATTTCTAAGCTTATACTTTTCTTACTACATGTGCTAGCGGAACCGATCAAAAGTCATTTTGCAGAGTGTGTGACACTGCATCTTTTCACCCCCGAAACAAATTTATAACCACATGTTTCGCGATAGAAAGATTTAATATTCAAATCGAGCTACGATTTCTGAAGCGTCCTTTATGCGTCAAACCTGAAACTTAAATTCAATTATTGAATATCTTACATCTGAAATTCAGATATTTAACTACTCAGGTTTTCAACTATTAATGGAAACAAACACATGTAGCATTTCTGTTAGAATATCTGAAAATGTATTTAATACTTGAATTCAACTTTCAGGTTTGCCAGTATTAATTAGTATAGAATAAAATTTTTCACTTTTGAAATCCTTTTTTTTCGCAGAGTTCTATATTATAGACGTATTAGAATATTTTTTTTTAACTACATCGTAGCGGAGTTTAAACAACAAACACGTCTAGACGCTGTGGAAATTTTTTCTTACTGCATCTGAATGCGTTTCTTGTGTCTGTTCTGTTTTCAGCTTGCTTTTATATTTTTACTGTTATAATTTTCGTGAATGGTTGTCAATCACAGAATCAGACATCGAATGAAAGGTACGCATAAAGTTATAAAAGAAATAAACCAAACAATAAAGAGCGCAGTTAGAGCCTGAAAGCTTGCATAAATTTTGAAATATATTCAAGAAATGTTTTCAATTATGAGTAATCATAAAAATTTGATGATTTTACAATTTCTTTATCTTACATGAAAG